CCCCAAAACCCCAAAACCCCAAAACCCCAAAACCCCTTTACAGAATTCATACCTTGATAATATTTTATAAATAAAATGAATCATCGAAGAAGCGTACTCCAGAAAAGAAGTGATCTTACAGAGAGTAAGTAATGCTAACCCAGGGCTTCCTTTGGAGCTCTAAAGAGTTGCCACTAAGTATTATCATATAGGCAAGTATCATGATAAGGTGTACAATAACTATCTTCCTAAAAAGTAAATAAGTCTTCTCACTATATCCTTTGGGGTTCATGATTGGAGTCATAAAAGGACTGCCTGAAAACCCGTTAATCTTAAACCAATCAGGACATAAACAGTTATAGATTGAACCATTCAAATTCTCCAAGTGATTACTCAGATTCTGTGTACGGTTACAAAAAGGTAAACTAAACGAGATTAATTATATTTTTGGACTAGATCGAGTCACTGAGAGGATTATATTTTATAATTATCCAATAGTTAAAGAAATCCGTGCCCACCAAGTACCTCTAATATTCCATCAAAATTCTTTGTATTTTAGTAAAAATCTGAGCTGATTTACATAAAGAGGCGTCTGATTGTCAGTAGTATAACTAACTTCTGATATTAACAGCTAGGATGTATAAACTATACAGCTTAATCATCCCTTGAAATAGATGTATAAGATTAATAGAATATTCTACTTTTAAGCATTTTACAAGGCTTGAAATTAGCAGGTTCAGATGAAGTAGATAGTCTGAAATGTTTAACTGGATCCATCAAGAAATATTTGACTGCTAATTTTAGAGAAAGATAGGAAATTCCATTAATTTAATTTTAGAAAATATAGAATTCTGATAGTCATCAAGACAGAATTGTTTGAAATTTATTGAAAATATACTCCCTTTACTAAAAATATGGGTTTAGTTTGCTTGAAATTTTCTTCTTAAAGTGAAAATCTAAAAATATCAAAATTCCATATTTTCTAATAAAAATCATAAATACTCTAAGTCCTCTAACTCTTCTCTACAGATCTTGATACCATCACCAGGTATGTCTTTACTAATCCTTAGAGGAGCTAAACTCAACTTCTCTGACGAAGTATTTTCAAAATGGCTCCCAAAGGACATCTGAAAAGCCGCAACAAGAGGTTCAAAAGGTGCCCCAAAAAGCTCCGAAAACAGCCAATCAAAGAACAGAAATCACTGAGAAGGTCAAATTCGTTTCATTGAGTATTAAATCTATGGCTGCTTTTGAGAAAATAGCCAAAAAGACAAAGTAAGCCTACAAACTGTAACATAGGATCAAAGTTACATTCCAAAATTTTGCAACTTCTTTGAGGAGTTTAGAAAATTATGAATAAATGTATATGGTTAAATAGCACTTAGAAGGTCTCTTTCCTATCCCTTTAACCATACAACTATCTATTCTATTGTTAAGCACTATTATGCCTTGAAATCAATTTCGAAGCTCAAATATTGAATGGATTACTCATAAAGCTTCCTATTTGTTTCAAGATTTAACAAACTTTCAAAACAAATGAGTTAATATCTATGGTTTCAATTTAACTATAGGAAAGGGATCAAGAGAGTAAGCTCAAAATAAGATTATTTTCAGAGAAGAAAGCCAAATTTCCAGAATAAAGATCTTCAACAAAAAGTCAAGGCATTTAATAATGCGAAAAGGACTGAAGATCAAAACAACAGAGAAAGCAGTGGCTTTGGCCTCGGTTTCAAGGTACTCATTTAATTATGAAGATAGGTACAGAAGCTAGACCCTTCCAGTTTTGATACAGCTGTTAAAAGACCTAAGATGAACTTCTTTAAAACTAGTAAGCATCAGGGTCAACTCTAGGTACATTCCCACATATTAAGTATGATTCTACACAATCAAACTGGAAAGGTAAATTTCCTAAAATCTAATTTTTAAGAAAGACAGAAATCAACAGAAATATTTAAGCAAAGGTAAATTTTAGAGATAATAAAAAGTAATCTTTCAAATACTATGGGGAAATCCACAGTCAAAGATCCTTCACAAACTATTTTCGAAGGGTTCCTTGCTGGCAATGAAGAAGCATTTCAGAGGAAGACAGCCAAAGGTATCCAATCGTGCCGAATCATAGACTTTTGCCCAAATATGAATGTTGTAAATGGACTAAAGAATGTAAGCCATAATGAGTGTATTCTATTAAATCTTCAATAGCTTATATCTAAGAGATCTGATAATCTCAAAAATCCATCCAAGCTACCAGAGAACGGAAGTAGCTACTTTGTATATACCAAAACTTCATCTATGAAAGAGCCAGATTTTATACAAAAGGGAGCATCCCATCTTAAGTCTGAGTCTGCTCTTGGGAGCTTCAAAGAAACTGATCCATTCAGATCTACGTAAGGACTGTGAATAATGTAAAATAGTCATTGAAGAGAAAGTCATAAAAGAAATAAGAGCATGAATTCTCTAAATATGAAAACCAAGAAGATTATCGATATTTCAAGGAGTAATCTATTTCTGATTGTCTAGAATAAAATTGCACTAAATTCAGTCCTCAGAGGTCACCTTGAAAAAGGTGTGAAGCTCAGAGGCAAATCAATGAGAGTTACTGAGCCTCACTCTAGAATTAAGAATGCTTTGGTAAATTTTCTTTTAACCTTAGATATCGAAAAGAGAGAATCAAGAGGGGAACTATAAAAGATCGCACAAAAATAAAATTCAAAATAAAGGTGTTCTTCGTGGCCGTGAAATTAGCTACACCAAAATCCTCTCAAACAGCTCCAAAAAGCCACATCTTATGCTTAAAAACAATTTTATGAGACGTCTGAACCACTTAAAGACCAATAATAACCTAGAACTCCAACCTAACCCTCAACAAAGCTTCATTGAAGATTGTATGAACAACTACATTGTCACTCAGAGTCGCAAAAGTATTTTGTTCTAACCTCTTTTAGACAAAGATAGGCCAAAGATTTCTAAATTACAGTCACCCACTGCAGAGCAATCCTCGATTAGTTCGAGAAGAGGACTTGGCAAAGAGGCTGAGCCCATTCAGAAGACTCCAAGAGTGCCTTATAACCAAGATATTATCGGTTTTATGAAGAAATAACCATTTTCAACGGTGACTTAGAAAAAGGGGTTTTGGGGTTTTGGGGTTTTGGGGTTTTGGGGTTT